GGATAGGAACTGGAAAAAACAAAAACTCCTTAGGGCTTTATGGTTCTATTAGGACTGAAATGAGCATGAACTAAACATGAGAAGAGAAAGATACCAACCTCAACTTGGTTTTGTAATGATTGGATGTAATTAATTATCTCATCAAGAACTAATGCTTTGCCTATAACCTGATACCACAACAGTCAAAATGGATGATTTCAAACAAACCATAGATATTTGCCATATTAAAACTGAGTGAGTATCACTTGAGCATAGTCATAAAAGGGTTATTTTATTGCTGTGTGAGAAACAGTAACATTGTTTAAATTACTGGTAGAATGCACTAAAATCCCTGGATATGCATTGAGCTTCCCTTAATCGCTCCATTCTTTTTTCATATTTCAGTTCTGTGTAGGCGCTAGGCCCAAAGCAAGCGCTATTAAGAACACTGACGAAATATGAATTATCATTGAGAAATAATACTTGTGCATGTTTAGTCTAAATGTTATCCCAAATCGGGGAAATTACCACATGAGAGTTTCAAGTAAACATTGGGTACTGAGATTTACATGTCATGCTCCAGGAAACATGGCCCATTTCGGGTTGGCGGTACTCGACCTTTTGAACCAAGAGGTGTAATTGCTCTTTATTGTATCAGTTCAAGATTTATATTACGAAGTATACACCAGCTCTTATGTTTTGTGACTTTTGTCTAGTTTCTTGATGATGAGATGGTTCCAAACATTGTATTTAACAAGCCAATAAAGACACCCTAGAATTAAGTATAACTAAATCAATTTTAAGGTTAACATGCAACACATCAGCGATTAAAAATTCATGCTTCTCAATTCCAAAGGACCAAAACAGACAATATCATGTTGTATCCCTGATAAATAGTTTAATTATGATTTTTCATATGTGCAAATAGGGAGTTTTCAAAACAGATAGTGCACCTTGTTGCAGCCAGGGACCAGGTCTTGGAGAATTCTCATCCTTTCACTTATTTTCTCTCTCCTAGCCTGTGCATCAAAAGGGGTACATACATTTAGAAAAAGTATGAATAATGTTTAATTTACATAACTACATCTATCATCAGAAATCAACCATATATTGGATTCAAGGAATTGATTTATAAACTTAAAATATTGGAATTCTGATTCATCTACAATGCAAAGAAGTCAAAATGCTAATACGTAAATCATTTTTAGATAGTGAGTCATACGGGTAAAATCAAATCCAACATTCCTTGAATTCCCTAACATAGAATAAATGAAATCCTATTATCCAAATATAACAGATGATTACTCGTTCTGCTAAGCTGTGACTGTCAGTTGCTTGGCCCCTCCTAGCTCTGACATGAATGTAATCTTTAGGTGGTTCAATTGGCTTTTCTGTTCTTTCTTCTTGCCTTCCAGAAGTTCCTTCAACTTCTTCAGGTTTAGGTTTATTGTTCGGTCCACCCGTCTTCAACCTTTTATTGTCTCCTTCACTCTGCTCAAACAGAAACCCAAACATAGATGCATCTCAGTTATCCAATTTCTCTCAGATCAGCAATATACCTTAATCTGTGTGAGGTTTGAATTAAATGTTTTAGCAACAGTTCGAAAATAATCTCAAATGTAGCCTGATAATTGTTAATAGTACAATTTCTATTAAATTTAAGAGTTAAATATTAATTTTACCATCTCCTGACTGTGCATACACATTCCTACCATAAACACAATGGTCATTCATTAAAGCTGTAAATATGTGCAAAGTAAGCAGATATATCTAACTAGAAAGATAACCATGCCATTGCCGCTGTCAGATGCCCCACGCTTAGCAGATTTATTATCGTCCTCTTGTGGCTTCCTAGCTCCGCAAGCGCTCTGGTTCACTCTTCGATCGAGAACCAAAGGATCATGTATCGCCACTGCATTCATATTCGTTGCCGGCGGCACCAAAGCATATGACATCGCTCCACCAGGTATGACAGGAAACGGCCAGATCTCCGCCAAATTTAACTGCGCATTGCTATGACCAAGGCAGGATCCTGATGCCGCTCCTCCGTAATTGAACATCGCAGCTTTCGGATCCATCCTTCGATTTGATCCGAATCCCGAATAGTTAACACCCTAACGGCTACCAATTAACAGGAATTTGTGTAAAAACGCAAGTGACAAAAGCTGCGCGTGCGTGTCAACTAAGTGCGGCCTCCCTGTAGAATGGAAGTTTCTGGTGCGTACTGCGATTGGAGTCGCACCCCGCCGCAGAGCAGAGGAAGCACGCCGCCGCCACCATCCACTGTAGATACAATTGAGAAAGTGATGGTAGAGAGAGAGAGAGTGAGTGCCTGGAAGTTAAGAGAAATGACCTCCCGGATTTTTTATTAGTTTCAATTATACTAGTACGTAGTACGGTAGTAGGTAGTAGTAGTATACTCCGATTGTTCCTGGAATTCAGTAGAGAAGCCTCACAGCCGGATCTAACAAAATGGTGCACGAGTAAGTCAAAATGACTCAGTCATTTCAATGGTGGTAGTTCTTATATTCGTGCGCATCAGAGGTCCGGAACTATCACACACAGTCAATGTGGGTTTCGATCATTGGTCATTGTTCCAAATTTCCCGCCACTGGACCACTGAGCTACTCCCTCCGTCCCTTATAACTTTGCCAACTTTCCTTTTTTGGTTGTCCCAAAAATTTTGCCACTTTCCATTTTAATCAATCAATTTGTGGCTCATGTTATTTCTCTCTTCTCTGCACAAATCTCTACCACACAGTTTTTACTTTATTATTCTACATGCCGGTCAAACATGGCAAACCTTTAAGGGACGGAGGGAGTACCTGTGAAGGGGTTAGTAGTAGTATACCCCCTGTTTAGTTAGAAAGTTTTTTAGATGGCTTCTAACATGCATTTGGATCTAATTCTTAAAATTGTTTCTGCTTCTTTAAAAAACAGATAGTGGAATGTTTGTGTGAAAATGCATGAGTGCTTCTAAGAGCTCCAAAATGCTCCTATAAGCAGTTTTTTAGAAGTCGGGGAAATCAGCTTCTAAAAACTGATTCAATTTCTACTTTTAGAAAAGAAGTAGATCAATTCCAAACACCCACTAACTTCTAAACTTGTAACTTTAAAAAGTCAGCCTTTCCATCTATATGCTTTTGCTTAAAAAACATTTTAATGTTAAAATCTAGAAGCTGTTATATGACTGCTGCTTCAATTCATAAAGGCAACGGTGGACAAAGTTGATGTTTGGATTCTGAGTTCTACTGGTGCACTTTCATGTTAATTACGGAGTATTAATTAAATAGATTCTTTCACTGCTATTCTATAGGAAATCTTCCCACATAGATACACGTATTGACGATGCAATCGAGGAGGAAAAGCATAAAGAAGAGAGGTCATGTTAGCCGACATCCATGGCTATATTGGAAAGTAAGCGAGCGCCAAACTAGTGAAACATAGGAGAATAGTATAGTACCACACTAATTTATGCATCGGGCATTTATGTACTTGCACAAAAATATTACATCCAAAATTACTCTTATACCAAATAGGCATGGCCTCGGGCCGGGTCGGGCCTAGGCCCGGCCGGGCTTTTTATGGTTGGGGGAAGGCCCGGGACCGGCCCGGATTTCCACTGGGTCCGGTTCGGGCAGGGCCGTGCCTCGAGCCTGTTTATAATTTTTTTTTTCTTTCCTAACTACCCCCTGACCCCCCTCACCCCCACCCCCAAACCCCCCACCCCCCCAAAACACCCAGCCCAACCCGGGGCAAACCAAAAATAATTGAAAAACAAAACATTTTGACCCGGTCGGGCCGGGTCACCAAATCACATACCCGAGCCCGCCCCCGCTTTACCCACCAGTTCGGGTCCAAGCCCGGTACCGGGCCGAAGGACCGAGACCGGTCCTGGGCCCGCACAGTAGGTGACCGGGTCACGGGCCGGGGGCCCCGAACCGAGTCCAAGCCTAATACCAAACACTCCAACTTTATCTTTTTCACTTTAATCACTTTTATTCTAAAACACCACAAACTTATACTACTTCGTATAAGGCACTTGGTGATGTGGAGTCGTTGCATTTGCTAGGAATGTGGACCTTCTCTGCTTGCTACTAAGAGAAATGGAGTGGCCACCAAATCACGCATGTGGAAGAACTAGTCCCAAACATACCGTCAAACCCTAATAGTGGATTTAATTGTTGGAAGAGAGATATCGCTGAAATTATCTTCATAAGAGAGTCTACTGACAAGGTTTATACTCCCTCCGTCCCAGAAAATTCTTCCAACTTTCCTTTTTGGGACGTCCCAGAAAATTCTTCCAACTTCACCTTTTTGATTATTTGTGTGGCTCACATTCATTTCACCTTTTTCTTACACAACTACAACCACACATTTCCACTTTATTCCCACTTTCTTAAACTCCGATCCAAGTCAAACTTGGAAGAATTTTCTGGTGTAACACCGTCCCCAAATATATTTACTTTTATGTAAATAATGTAATGAACCTTATTAAAGGATTTACGATTTTACGAAGTTGTAAATTTTTATTTAATTCTTTCGCGTGAATAGTAAATTGCACGTGGGACCCACACCGGGAGCGGGGGCCGCCCGACATTCCCGAGACCATATATTTTATTCATCTTGGTCTAGATAATAAATATATAGTGGTGGATATTTCATTTGGGCCATGGAAAGGCCCAGAGTTGACCGATTGGTCAAAAGAAGCCCAATTACCGGTACCGACAATTAAACAGATAACAGCCCGAAAATGAATTTCGGAGACTTCCAAATTAAAGTTTTGGAATATATATTATTTCAAGGGGAGTTATGATTGGGAACACATAATATATTTTATTTTACCCGATAAAATAAATTATGATTAAAACAGTTCGAAAAATACAACTTTCGGGACCGATTGTACACTTCTGGACAAAAAGGGTTGACCTCCCACATGGGTGGGGGCCAACCCACGAAATTAGCCTCATTTCTCAAGGCATTGGTCGGCTGGTGTAAGATGGGAGGCATGGGAGAGGTTATGAAGTGAAAGAATAGGAATCAAACAAATTGAGGTGGATCCCATCCACACTCATTTGATCATTAAGTCAAAAGAACTATTCTCACCTTCCCTCACCCCTCACCCCTGCGGCCAGAACCTCAAGAAAAGAAGCCAAGAAAATTCTCCATCTCCTTTCTCCATTGTTGAAGGGAGCTCAACAAGAAGGAATCCCAAGAAAAGGAGCTAAAGTGCTAAAAGTGTGAAAAGATTAAGGTAATGACCTTATTATAACTTTTTCTTTATTTTTCTTCTACCATATGAGATATATATCATGTGAAGAATCCTTAAGGGGGTTCTACATGTTATAAGTATGGATTAATGGGTTGGAAAATGATTCTATGTCCAAGAACGGACTTAGAAGCCAAAACGACCGGTTCACCGGAAAATAACCGTTTTGAAGTTATTTGTATTAATATGGGTTTTATGATTATAAAACCTTGTTAGGAACTTGTGAAAGGTATTTCAAGTGATTTCACAAAGTTGGTAAGGTCGCCGGAGTTGTCGCCGGAGTTGACCGAAAGTCGCCGGAGTTTCACCGGAGTTCCACCAAGAGGGGTAGAACTTCATAACGCTAGTTCAAGGTGAGTGGACGGCTTAATATCTTATAACTTTTGGGTTAATTATAAGATTACCTAAATAAATGTTATAAGTGTTCATAATGATGTTTAAAAGATATTTAAACATGTGATTAGCCAACATAGATAAGTTTGTATGAAAAGAATTAATTGTTTATACATGAAACATGATATGAGAAATAATATGAAATGCATATTTGTTGGGAATGTCAAGGAAGCACAAATGATTATTATTAACTTAATTATATGATGATTAAGTTGATATGTACAAGGCTTGAATGGCGGTCAACGACAACGTTGACCGATGGATAATGGATTAATTAATGTCGGTTGATATTAGTTAATTGGATATTTATATAATTGCATGGATTTGCATGAATTGTGATACATAAGCTTTATGTAGTGAATTAGTTATGAATGACTAAATATGATATAGACCCTATCTAGCGTGATATGTGGTAAGTCATAGGTCGGGTGGAGTACCCAAGGATCGGGCGGTTATCCTCAAAACTCGGTTATATAGGGTGGAGTACCCAAGGATCGGGCGGTTATCCTCAAAACTCGGTTATATAGGGTGGAGTACCCAAGGATCGGGCGGTTATCCTCAAAACTCGATATAGGGTGGAGTACCCAAGGATCGGGCGTGTATCCTCAAAACTCATAGATTACATTTAATGATCTAGGACCGGGCGGTGTCCTTATGATAATTTATTTGAACAAGGAGGAGTTCTATACACTCATAGGTATATGGGTGGGTTGGGATTTAAGTCAAGGATATTGACTACTATTATTTTCCCAAATAAACAATGACCTACGGGTCGGGTATTTCCAAGTGTATGTATACTAATATGTATTTCAAACTTGGGAAAAGGACTATACGTATATGTATCACCCTATGTTTGGGTCTTATACTTGAAACGATAGTTATTCTATATTTAGCCTGCTACTCGCTCGGTACTTGTACTGACCCCTTCGGGGGGCCCCACCATTTTCAGGTTGAAGCTAGGGCTTGCTACCTGCACCTTTCTACGGGTGACATCAAATCAAGGAAGACGTGGTTCGTGCTTCCTCTTTTTATTTCAAATTACCAAACATTGCTCATGGATATTTTTTATTTGTCATAAACTATTCTTTTGGGGCTTGCATGCCCATGTTATTGGCCGGTTGTGGCTTATGACTTACCGTTGAATATTTCCGCTATTCATTGGTTTATATGTGATGTTGTTGTGTATGTTTACTACTGAGTATGGATGGATTATTTTCTCGAACGCCTTGTGTAATCAAGTGAGGTTGACTCGCGGGTGACGTCACTTGATTATACGGCGGTTGTACACGCGCTTGGATTGCGGTCTGGGGCGTGACAATTAAGTGGTATCAGAGCCATCTCAGTTCTAAACTATATAATCAACCTCTCACATGAGATTTTACGAAAGAGTTTTTACCGAAAACCATGAGCATTGGATTTTGACGTTTATGGGACTATTGGAGCTTAAGTTGCAAGGCCTCTAATTGTTAAGACGGTACCCTTAACAATTGGTATGGTGGTGACTTGGGCCAATACGTGTCTGTAACGTTCTTCCGTCAATTGACATTTATAGGAGTCTAATGACTCATCCATATTTCTTTCAGAAATGGAGGGCAGGCGAATGCGGACCAGGAACAATCCGAGGGGGCAGGCGCCGGTAACATCCCAAAGGGGAAGCCGGGCTGCATCTCGGGGTTCAAGAGGAGGCCGTGGAGGCCGTGGAAGCCGTGGAGGTTATCAAGCTCAAACTGTGAGTGATGGCCATGTAAGCTCGGTGTATGAAACCAACACCGAGGACTATGACTCTACGTATGTTCCTGAGACAGAGCATGAGGAGACCCCATATGATGGGGGTGACACATACACCGATGAGGACAATGATGAAAGTGATGCCCGTTTCGCCCAAATGGGTGAATTACTTGAGTGGTATCAAAAGGAGAAACTGAGGAGAGACCTTAGGCGCCAAGCGAGGCGTGGCTCTCGTGGTGGTTCGGGTCAAGGGAGCCGGGGAGCTTCCGTGGCCACCCCAGCGGCGTCACAAGGTGGGCGTGAAGGAGGTTTTGTTGTGAGAATCTCCAAGTACCTCAAGGAGGCTAGGGCCTTGGGGTGTAGGTCCTTTGACGGCACCAGTGACATTACCGTTGCCGCCGATTGGATTAAGAAGGTGAAGGATGCATCAAGAGACATGCAAATCACACCGGACGTGAAGTTGACTGTCGCTTCACGGCTACTTGAAGGGATGGCTTCTACATGGTGGGAAGGTGTAGAAGGGAAATACCGTGGGGACATCTCATGGGAAAATTTTGAGCAAGAATTTTATGCTCAATACTACTCCGATTTCGAGGTTAATGTGAAAAGGAGGGAGTATACCAACCTCAAGCAGAAAGAGGGTTGCACGGTTAAGCAACTGGAGCAGGAGTTTAGGACCTTGGCTAGGTTCTTACCGGAGTATGCGATCGATGAGGACCGCATGACTGAGCACTTCTGGGATGCCCTACTCTTGGACATCCGAGATCGTGCCACGTATTCCCGCCTCATGACCTTTAGTGAGGTGGTAGAGCAGGGCATGCTTGGAGAGGCCCAATGGAACGAGAGGAAAGCAAGGGACGCCGAAGAGGCAAAGAAGAGGAAGTGGAATAATTCGGGGCCACCCGATCATTCTCGAAGGAACAACCACGGGGGTGGTGGTGGCGGTGGTTCATTCAAGACGCCGGCTCCACCGGCAAAGAAGAATAGGGATGCGAGGTGGCACGGACCTAGGCCACAGAACTCGGGGCCACCTAGATGTCCCAATTGCTCAAAACAACACTTTGGGAAGTGCAATGAACCACCGAGGTGTTTTAAGTGCGGGAATGCGGGCCATATGAAGGCCAATTGCCCTCAATTGATGCAAGAGAGTGCCTCGGGAGCCGGGGGAGGGACCATGACGGGAAGGAACCGTGCGGGACCGTCAAACGGCGGCACGGGAAGAGGCGGCGCATCCACAAGCCATGCCGCATCCGTCAACCAAGGTGGGACCCAAGCCCGAGTGTACGCGATGACCGAGGCGGATGCGAGAGCAAACCCGGACTCCGTTGCAGGTAATACACGTATTCCCATGTATTTCTAGGCTTACTTTGATCATATACGTCGTTGGGATTGAGTGCGGGCCACCCCGGGGTCGAACCGGGTGAGTTAGGCCGAATCGGACTGGAAACAGCCACTGCTGGCCAGGCACGCCCGCAGGCACGCCGTGCCTGGCGTCGTGCCTGGAGGGCAGTGGCACCCGAAGAGAAAGAAAAAAAAAAAAAAAAAAAATTTTTGGGCCAGGCACGGCCGCAGGCACGCCGTGCCTGGCGTCGTGCCTGGAAGGCAGTGGCGTCCGAAGGAAATTTTGGCCAGGCACGGCCGCAGGCACGCCGTGCCTGGCATCGTGCCTGGCCGGCAGTGGCCAGCAGGGTGAGTTTGTTGCACGCACGGCCGTGCGTGCCACCCAGGCACGCCGTGCGTGGACCCCCAGCACCCGAAAGTCGATTTTTTTCGCCCCGTTCTTCTACGTTTGGACCCCCGTTTGATTCCAAACATTAGTATGAACCTAATAACCTCCTAAAGGTGTGTGAAAACATTAGAAAATGTATCTTACATGGTGTATAAATGTAGGAACATTAAAGATCAATGGTAGGTGTGCGAGGATCCTCATCGATACCGGGGCACAACGCTCATTTGTGAGTGAGGCGTTTGCTGAGGGGCTCGACGTGCCATTGACGCCTATGACACAAACATTGCTAGTCTCCACACCATTAGGAGACGACGTGGAGAGGGATCATTACTATCCCTCGTGTGAGGTAGAAGTGACGGGTCAACCTTTGACTTGTGATTTCGTACCTCTGAGCATGTTGGAGTTCGATGCAATCCTAGGAATGGATTGGCTCGAGAAACACCATGCCCGAGTGGATTGCTACACCAAGGCGTTGGAGCTTGAGGATGATCAAGGGAATATGCTACGTTTTGAAGGAGATCGGGGAAAATCTAATGCTTGTATCATATCCGTGATGAGAGCACGAAAGATGATGAGGAAGGGATGCCACGCATACCTTGCTTACGTGATAGATGATACGAAGAAAGAAGTCGACATCAAGGATGTTCGAGTCGTGTGCAAGTACCCGGACGTCTTTCCCAAGGACCTACCGGGGCTTCCACCCGATAGAGAGATTGAATTTGTAATCGAAGTGGAGCCGGGAACCAAACCCATTTCGATTCCTCCTTATCGAATGGCACCGGCCGAACTTCAAGAGTTGAAGGTCCAACTACAAGAGCTACTGGACAACGGGTTCATCAGACCCAGTCATTCACCGTGGGGAGCACCCGTACTCTTCGTAAAGAAGAAAGATGGTACGCTAAGAATGTGTATCGACTACCGACAGTTGAACAAGGTCACAATCAAGAACAGGTATCCTTTACCTAGGATTGATGACTTGTTTGATCAACTTCGAGGGGCCATAGTATTCTCGAAGATTGACTTGAGATCGGGGTATCATCAGTTGAAGATCAAGGAGAGTGACGTACCTAAGAGTGCATTTCGCACTAGATATGGTCACTACGAGTTTCTTGTGATGTCATTTGGTTTAACCAATGCACCGGCAGCATTCATGGACTTGATGAACCGGGTGTTTAGTGAATACTTAGATCAATTTGTGATAGTATTCATTGATGATATCTTGATATACTCCAAGAGTGAGGAGGAGCACGAACATCATTTGAGGCTTATACTTGATCGGCTAAGGGAAAAGCAACTCTTTGCCAAGTTCTCTAAATGCGAATTTTGGCTCAAGGAGATTGGTTTTCTCGGTCACGTCATATCCGGTTCGGGCGTAGCTGTGGATAATGCCAAGATAAAAGCTATCATGGATTGGGAGAGACCCAAGAATGTGAAAGAGATACGTAGTTTCCTTGGCTTAGCGGGATACTATCGTAAATTTGTTGAAAAATTCTCCGTATTGGCGTCTCCATTAACGAAGCTCACAAAGAAAGGGGCCAAGTTCATATGGGATGACAAGTGTGAGAAAGGGTTCCTGGAACTCAAGAAACGACTTACCGAAGCACCAGTCCTTGCCCTACCCATACAGGGGATAGGGTATGACATTTACAGCGATGCTAGCATCCAAGGGCTTGGATGTGTACTAATGCAAAACGGTAAGGTGATTGCCTATGCTTCTAGGCAATTGAGGAAACACGAGGCTAACTACCCTACCCACGATCTAGAGTTGGGGGCGGTAGTGTTTGCATTAAAGATTTGGAGGCATTATCTCTACGGGGAGACGTGTCACATTTATACCGATCATAAGAGCTTGAAGTATGTATTCACTCAGAAAGAGTTGAATATGAGGCAGAGGAGATGGATGGAGTTGATCAAGGACTATGACTTGATCATCGACTATCATCCCGGAAAGGCCAATGTAGTGGCCGACGCACTGAGCAGGAAGAGTACGTCAGGGACGTTACTTACTTGTCTACGAGTGTTAAGGGCACGCGTGGAGGTATCCACGAGCGGGGCGCTCATTGCTAGATTCGAGGTGAGGCCTACATTGCTGAGTGAGATCAGTAGATGTCAGGCCATTGATGAGGAATGTCAGAAGATCCGCGAACGGATCCTTGAGGGGCCCGTCGAGAATTTTCGGGTACGTGATGACGGTCTTTTATTATTTAAGGATCGTGTGTGCATACCAAAGAATGAGGAGCTCCAGAGGGCTATACTTGAGGAGGCTCATTCTTCAGCATATGCCATGCATCCAGGGGGTACTAAGATGTACCGAGATCTGAAGGAAAGTTACTGGTGGTCAGGCATGAAGAAGGATATTGCGGAGTTTGTGAGTCGATGCCTTACTTGCCAACAAGTTAAGGCAGAGCATCAGCACCCAGCAGGGCTCTTACAACCACTCACCATCCCAGAGTGGAAGTGGGAACATGTGACCATGGACTTCGTGGTGGGGCTGCCACGAACAGTGAACAACTACGATGCAGTATGGGTGGTAGTTGATAGGCTCACCAAGAGTGCACACTTTCTGCCTATCAACATTACTTACCCCCTTGAAAGGTTGGCCAAGCTATACACGGAGGAGATCGTGAGATTACATGGAGTCCCAATATCCATTGTCTCGGATAGGGATCCACGATTCACATCCCGATTTTGGCCAAAGTTTCAAGCATCGTTGGGTACTAAACTGAAGTTTAGCACAGCTTTTCACCCACAGACGGATGGACAGTCCGAGCGGGTGATACAGATTTTGGAAGATATGCTTAGAGCATGTGCCTTGGAGTTCCAAGGAAGTTGGGACAAACATTTGGCTCTAGTGGAGTTTGCTTATAACAACAGTTATCAAGCAAGTATTGGCATGCCTCCATACGAGGCATTGTATGGGAGGAAGTGCAGAACACCGTTGTGTTGGGACGAGGTTGGCGAGGCCAAACTCGAAGGGATAGAGCTGGTTGAGATCACCAAGGCCAAGGTAAGGATCATTCGGGATAGATTGAAGGCTGCTCAGGACCGACAGAAGAGTTATGCTGATAAACGGCGGAGACCGTTGGAGTTCGAAGTCGGTGATGAGGTTTTCCTAAGGATTTCTCCTTGGAAGGGCGTCATTCGATTTGTATCAAGGGGAAAGCTTAACCCACGATACATCGGTCCTTTTGAAATCCTTGAAAGGATTGGGGCCGTGGCTTATCGTCTCAAGTTAACACCAGAACTTGAGAGGATACATGACGTATTTCATGTATCGATGCTCAAGAAGTACATACGTGAACCATCTCATATTCTTGAGAAACCACCGGTAGAGATCCGTGAGGACTTGCAATATGCGGTGGAACCAGTGAAGATTGTTGGTCAACAAGTGAAGAAGCTTAGGAATAAGGAGATTCCTATGCTAAAGGTTCTTTGGAGGAGTGATCGAGTCGAAGAAGAAACTTGGGAGACCGAGGTCTCAATGAGGGAGCAATACCCATCTCTTTTCGATTAGATACTTGGATTTCGGGGACGAAATCCCAAATAAGGGGGGGTGAACTTGTAACACCGTCCCCAAATATATTTACTTTTATGTAAATAATGTAATGAACCTTATTAAAGGATTTACGATTTTACGAAGTTGTAAATTTTTATTTAATTCTTTCGCGTGAATAGTAAATTGCACGTGGGACCCACACCGGGAGCGGGGGCCGCCCGACATTCCCGAGACCATATATTTTATTCATCTTGGTCTAGATAATAAATATATAGTGGTGGATATTTCATTTGGGCCATGGAAAGGCCCAGAGTTGACCGATTGGTCAAAAGAAGCCCAATTACCGGTACCGACAATTAAACAGATAACAGCCCGAAAATGAATTTCGGAGACTTCCAAATTAAAGTTTTGGAATATATATTATTTCAAGGGGAGTTATGATTGGGAACACATAATATATTTTATTTTACCCGATAAAATAAATTATGATTAAAACAGTTCGAAAAATACAACTTTCGGGACCGATTGTACACTTCTGGACAAAAAGGGTTGACCTCCCACATGGGTGGGGGCCAACCCACGAAATTAGCCTCATTTCTCAAGGCATTGGTCGGCTGGTGTAAGATGGGAGGCATGGGAGAGGTTATGAAGTGAAAGAATAGGAATCAAACAAATTGAGGTGGATCCCATCCACACTCATTTGATCATTAAGTCAAAAGAACTATTCTCACCTTCCCTCACCCCTCACCCCTGCGGCCAGAACCTCAAGAAAAGAAGCCAAGAAAATTCTCCATCTCCTTTCTCCATTGTTGAAGGGAGCTCAACAAGAAGGAATCCCAAGAAAAGGAGCTAAAGTGCTAAAAGTGTGAAAAGATTAAGGTAATGACCTTATTATAACTTTTTCTTTATTTTTCTTCTACCATATGAGATATATATCATGTGAAGAATCCTTAAGGGGGTTCTACATGTTATAAGTATGGATTAATGGGTTGGAAAATGATTCTATGTCCAAGAACGGACTTAGAAGCCAAAACGACCGGTTCACCGGAAAATAACCGTTTTGAAGTTATTTGTATTAATATGGGTTTTATGATTATAAAACCTTGTTAGGAACTTGTGAAAGGTATTTCAAGTGATTTCACAAAGTTGGTAAGGTCGCCGGAGTTGTCGCCGGAGTTGACCGAAAGTCGCCGGAGTTTCACCGGAGTTCCACCAAGAGGGGTAGAACTTCATAACGCTAGTTCAAGGTGAGTGGACGGCTTAATATCTTATAACTTTTGGGTTAATTATAAGATTACCTAAATAAATGTTATAAGTGTTCATAATGATGTTTAAAAGATATTTAAACATGTGATTAGCCAACATAGATAAGTTTGTATGAAAAGAATTAATTGTTTATACATGAAACATGATATGAGAAATAATATGAAATGCATATTTGTTGGGAATGTCAAGGAAGCACAAATGATTATTATTAACTTAATTATATGATGATTAAGTTGATATGTACAAGGCTTGAATGGCGGTCAACGACAACGTTGACCGATGGATAATGGATTAATTAATGTCGGTTGATATTAGTTAATTGGATATTTATATAATTGCATGGATTTGCATGAATTGTGATACATAAGCTTTATGTAGTGAATTAGTTATGAATGACTAAATATGATATAGACCCTATCTAGCGTGATATGTGGTAAGTCATAGGTCGGGTGGAGTACCCAAGGATCGGGCGGTTATCCTCAAAACTCGGTTATATAGGGTGGAGTACCCAAGGATCGGGCGGTTATCCTCAAAACTCGGTTATATAGGGTGGAGTACCCAAGGATCGGGCGGTTATCCTCAAAACTCGATATAGGGTGGAGTACCCAAGGATCGGGCGTGTATCCTCAAAACTCATAGATTACATTTAATGATCTAGGACCGGGCGGTGTCCTTATGATAATTTATTTGAACAAGGAGGAGTTCTATACACTCATAGGTATATGGGTGGGTTGGGATTTAAGTCAAGGATATTGACTACTATTATTTTCCCAAATAAACAATGACCTACGGGTCGGGTATTTCCAAGTGTATGTATACTAATATGTATTTCAAACTTGGGAAAAGGACTATACGTATATGTATCACCCTATGTTTGGGTCTTATACTTGAAACGATAGTTATTCTATATTTAGCCTGCTACTCGCTCGGTACTTGTACTGACCCCTTCGGGGGGCCCCACCATTTTCAGGTTGAAGCTAGGGCTTGCTACCTGCACCTTTCTACGGGTGACATCAAATCAAGGAAGACGTGGTTCGTGCTTCCTCTTTTTATTTCAAATTACCAAACATTGCTCATGGATATTTTTTATTTGTCATAAACTATTCTTTTGGGGCTTGCATGCCCATGTTATTGGCCGGTTGTGGCTTATGACTTACCGTTGAATATTTCCGCTATTCATTGGTTTATATGTGATGTTGTTGTGTATGTTTACTACTGAGTATGGATGGATTATTTTCTCGAACGCCTTGTGTAATCAAGTGAGGTTGACTCGCGGGTGACGTCACTTGATTATACGGCGGTTGTACACGCGCTTGGATTGCGGTCTGGGGCGTGACATCTGGGACGGAGGGAGTAACATATAAGTGGGGAGTCATCACAACGGAGATCTCATTCGTCAAAAGGATGAGACCTTTAGTACCTTATTAATTACTACCTCCGTTCTTAAATAAATGCAACACTTTGAATTTTACACTATTCAGATGTTCTACTTTGACTACATTTTATTTATTGATGTATTAATATTTTTTTATGAAAACAATATTTTTAAATTCGCCTCATTTAAAATTTCAAAATCTATTTTTTAAAACTTTTTTACTAGTACAAAATTATATATATTAATGGTCAAAGTTGTGTCTCAACAAGTGTGAAATGTTGACCGTTGCATTTATTTAATAACGGAGGAAGTATTATCTTATTATATTGACCTTGTGCTGCCTCTTAAAATTTGTGTGTCTGTATCCATGACAACAATGTCTATTTAAAACAAGGATAATGTGAGGCAAAAAAATAAACAAAGAGAGGTTTCATAGAGGTGGTGTGTCTCATGTTTTTTTGGGATGAAATGTAAATTATATTAACACTCAGAAAAATTTAACATATACATGTGTCCTACTTCTACAAAAACCTTCCCAACCCCTCATAGTGAGGGGGATAAGAGGTTCTTTATAAGAGACAAGTTTCGTCTAAAGCCACAATCTGGCCAAAAAAACAAAATCAAAATCAGTGCTACATGTTGCACACACAGAGATTAAAATCATCAAAAAAGGAGTCAAAAGAAGTCAAGATGTTGCAAGTTGTACACATGCTAGTACAAACAAAAATGTTATCTATATGCCCAGCCCAAGTTTGGACTTTGACACTACATGTGCAGTCTAATAAGCAATGTCGTAGTCTGCCAATAGGGAGCTTTGGTCCATCAAAATTTGATCAAGTCATATGGGTAAATACTAAAAAGTATTTTATATACCATATGCTTGATGCTATCACATTATCCTCTGTTTTTGTTGCATCATCAAATAGGCTCTCATTTCTTGTATGCCAAATATAGTAGACCGGTGCACAGAACGCAAGTCTTGCCGCTTTTGCTTTCAATGTTGACCTTTGTGGGTCTTTGTGATCCATTTGATTGAGCTAAGCAAAGTAGTCATTTCGTGCCCAAGTCTCATCTTTTCCATAATCTTGTCTCATACCCTACAAGTGAAGGGGCAAAGGAAGAATAAGTGTGGGATTGTTTCCAATCCACTGTTACGCAAGTCACATCTATTGACCATGTTTAGGTAACCGAGACTATCCTGGGTGGGTGGTCGGTTCCTTAAGGCTAACCAAACATTAAAAGAGAATTTTGGAGGAATATATGACTTTCAAATGAAACTCATTGGAGTCCTAGGGTTCCCTTTAATTCTTAAAAGGTCATATATTTTGGCCGAGACTAACTTCCCATTCATGGTCCTAGCATTGAGGCTCATAATGGTGTCATTCAAGTTGTTAAAAACATCCACGTATTTTATCTCGTATTGGTGTGTCTCATGTTTGTCCTATAAATGGGTGCGTCAACCATTTCGCGCATGAAGGTCTAACAAAGATAGGTCAAGGACTCATAAAGGGCAAGATTCAAAGGGGTGAGAGTGTGAGACAATGTTTAGCGATAACCAAACATGGTATATATACATACCCTAGGAATGTCATAAATGTTATAATATTTTGCTGATGAAAGTGGTTGGTTACTAAATATTTTGTTGATAAAAGCATTATATATCTAATGGCAAACATCTATGTTATTAAACATTTTACTTCAAGCCACTAATGTGCTTGATTAAAACAACTAACACCTAACATAATCAATTAGCATTAATCTGCTGATTCGATCGACTATCAACTAGCATTCAACAATCAATTATCAAACACTCTCATTGACATTTTAGGGAGTGTTTGGAACTGATTCTGCTTCTGCCTCTTTTTAAAACAAAAGCAGAATCATAATCAGTTTTCAGGATCTGATCTCCCCCAACTTTAAAAAAATCGATTCTAGAAGTAAATTAGAGCATCAGAATTCCAGAAATACTTCTTAACTTTCACAAAAACTCTCTAATTTATGTTTTTGCTCCCTCAAGGTGCGGAATAAGTTTTAAGAATTAAATCCAAATACCCATTAGTCATTCACTTTTTACCCCTTAGGAGGCGTTTACTTCGCCGCTAAAGTCATAGTTAGGTTAGTAAGGCAAGTGAAGTAAACACGCACGCTGCTTAAAAAGCCGTTTACTAACCGAAATAGGTGCTTAAAGTGCCGCTTACTAAGCATACCCCCCATGTATTAATTAAGCGACACATTAAGCTTTTTCAGTTTCCGAATTTACCCCTTGCCCTTACCCTACATTGTTACCCCTACCCGCCTTACCCTACTACCCCGACCCCACCCTACCCACTACCTCCATCCATCCTCGTACCTTACCCCTACTCGACCATTACCCCACCCCACCCCGCGTACCTCTTTCCCCTACAACGACCCTACCCACCCCCACACCCCACCTCGGCCCCACCTCGATCCATACCCTACCCCTACCTTGGCCCCACCCCACCCCCCACACCCCACCTCGGCCCCACCTCGATCCATACCCTACCCCTACCTTGGCCCCACCCGACCCCACCCCCACCTTACCCCTACCCTGCTTTACCCCGACCCCACCTACCCCACCCCAACCTAGGCCTTACCACCTTACCCCAAGCCCCAACCCCCCACCACATCGGCCCTACCAGACCCCACCATATCCTATCTTACCCTACTCCTACCCCCCCAGGCCCTTACCACCCTACCCCTACCCCATACCACATCGGCCCCACCCTGACCCCACCCTAACCTACCATACTCCTACCCTACCCAACCCTACCTTACCTTGACCCCACCACTACCCCGTCCTCGACCCCACCCCTACCCCTAGGCCCTTAACACCCCAATTACACCCTATCCTACCCTACTCCTACCATACTATCCTACACTACTCCCACTACTAGAATAATAGCTATTTGCTGCGGTCATTTTTACCTATTTGCTACGGTTTTGAACCGCAGCAATTGGCAGCGCAGCAAATAATGGGAAAACTTATTTGCTGCGGTTCACAACCGCAGCAAATAGCTATTCTAAAAAATTAAATGTAACTTATTGCTGCGGTTATGGACCGCAGCAAATAGTTGTTGAACCGCAGCAAATATGGTTTTATGTATTGGTATATTAATTTTGTTTTAAAATGATTTTAAAACTGGTTTTTATCATAAAATAAAATGTTCATAAAATAAGAAAAAAAATCATTTCTGCATCTGAGTATCATACCAACACAAATCATAATTCGCAAAAAATCGTATATATCCAAAATTCATAAATAATACTCCGTACAATACAAATTACCATCGCTATATAGTTCATCACTAACAAATTACAATAACTTATCACACATATTTCAGGTTTTCTGTTGCTATTTCTTCCTCAGGATGTCTCTTATCTTCTCTTCCTTTTCCATCGCAATCACTTGATGATTTGTTTTTCTTGTAAATTGAGTATAATTGATCTTGTTGCACAAACACATGTCCTCAACCTGCAGGTTCATCCATACACATACTGGAAATGAGCAACCATACTTGCACTTCAACTTCAGAAAAGATCCATACAAGGAGTTTGGTTAGTGGATAAACCAGATTGGCGTGGACGGTGGACGGAATTTTCACTGACTTTCCGGGCAGCCTCCACTAGTTTCAGGCGTGGACCAAACCATTGCCAATATAGCATAAAAGTGAAGGGTGCATTTAAACTTCAGCTTAGCACCTCCTGAATGATTTCAAAGTTTAGAATCCGTAGACTTGCAAATTAAGGAATTTTCATTTCTTTTTCTCAATGTGGGATAATTCTCAATGTGGGATAATTCTTTCCACTAATATTATACTCCATCTTGATCCTTGTAGTTAAAAGTTTTATTGCTATTAATGATTAAAAAATCCAGGGTAAATAATAATACCTTTATCATTCCATTGAAGTCTCTGTGTAACACTTTAAATTACAAGTACCGGATTATCTGCCAAAATAAAAAAACAGAATATGGCTCAAATTTCAACTACCATTCACTTAATAATCTTACCAAGCATAAATAAAAAATCAAGCTTTCACTGACTGATATTCATGACCGTGACAAATTCCTACAACATATATTAAAATAAAATATACTCATACTGATAGCGTCACAGGAAATCGATATAATTGTGATAGAGTATAAGTTTTATATACTCATACACTTTTATGTCTTTATTTAGTACAATGGAACCTTTCTTGGAATAAATTTCTTGGTGCTGATCCTGGAGAAGTTATGCACTACTAACAAACATTAAGTTTAGTCAAGTAAGATAATCTGACCACCAAGATTGGTAATGACTGCACATGTTGTGAGATCCTGAATTATACACAAATAAAGAAATTGATAAATTAGGGGCAGTTGAAGTGTGATACAATACAAAAGAAGCAAAATGAGTTCATTGGCACACATCGCAATGTCCTTAACAATGCTACAATTAATCACAATGTGGATAACAGAGAAGCATTGGCATTCATTACCAGTAAATTAATGACTTATTCATAGTTATGCATATTGTACAGCTCTTCAATAGTCATAGTAGAACGAAGACGTTTTACTACTGTACGTTATTATGTAATGAAAGGAATTATATAATAGGATTCACAAAATGTTGAATCTAATCTCATGCTTTTAATTTCTTTAAAAAGGAAATCTAATTTCAATTAGAATATCATCACACATAGCCACACTTAACCAAGAATTATGTGATTTTGGATCTGTGTATATTAACGGCTAAGAAATAATAAAGTCCACTATCAAGAAAAGCAATACGGAGTATATGATTCCATAAAAATCAGCTGAAAAAATAGTCAGCAGAAAGAAGGGGTGTCAAATAGGACTGACTATTGGTTTAAGATTACCTGAACATGCCGGGAAGCCTTTTCGACTGGCGAACAACAATCCATATATCTATCAAAGCTCTACCCAGCCCAGGCTGTCCTAGCCTGTCAAGTGTTGTAGATATGAATTACATGCAATATTAGATGGGATGACCGCTTTATATATACAAGATAAAATCCCCTTCAGAAAAGAAGTTGTAAGCAACTTGGAAAAAGGGAGGTAAAATTTTCACCCTTTTTTCCCACATACTCCCACACACAAAGACGTCACTGAAGTTTCTTGAATAAAAGGAAAAAAACACCCCATTGTCCCGCTATGAATTAGCAAACCATCTTGTAAAACAGAATATCAAATGTTCTTATTCAGCTAATGTAAGAGTTGGTACATAACAGAACCGGTTCTTGGCAAAATGTAAAAATATGCATATGTAAGAGAGTGAGAAAGCAATGAAATGAATTTGATTCATATGTTCCCCGGTCCTCCTCGAATCTGAATTGCACTTTGCAATTCTATGAATTTATTTATCCCGAATACTTATGCACTTCATGTAGGAATTACAAAAAAATAACTTCACACATAATAACTTCAAAAATACATAAAAATCAACTTTATACAAACATAAACATCAATACTTATTTCATAATATCAACAAATATTAAATTTTCGTGAAATGATAACCAATTAAAGAAAACTGCTTGATATTATAAAAGATTGAGGAGTAGACCTGCAATAAGTGAAGAGGAGTCAACAAGTAGAAGGCGGCGATCAGGAAAGAGCGGCAAGCTGAGGGAGCAGTGGTTACTCCATGTCGGGCAGCTTGTTCCCTATATTCATAGAAGCGGTGATGGCAGATTGCTGTATGCAGGCAGGCGACGTCGGTGTGGTGCTAATAGGGGGCGAAGGCAGTGTGTGCTGGGAGTGGGAGATGACATTGTGCTGCTGGGAGGGGTGCGACGGCAGTGTGCTGCGTGCTGGAGCGGGGCGGCGATGAATTGGGCGGACTTAGGAGAAGCCGATCTGCAAGCTCGTGAAATTCCTTAGGAGATTAGAGAAAAAACCCTAAGTAAAGCACCACAGCGGCTGCGGTTTTAGGAATGCCCGCATCAAATAAATAATGTCTCAGGATATATTGATGCGGTCCCAATTTAACCGAAGCAAAAGGAGAGAAAAAACACAAAATCGAACTGTTATTTGCTGCGGTTCTATTGTAACCGCACCAATAAGTGTACAAAAAGTATTTATTTGCTGCGGTTTCTTTATGAACGCAGCAAATACTTGAAAAATTCATCAATTGCTGCGGTTTTGTTTTGGACCGCAGCAAATGAGGGGCAGCAAATAACAAAAAATCTAGTAGTGTCCTACCATACTATCCTACCCTACTCCTACCCATACCCTACCCTACCTTACCCCGACCCCTCTACCCTACCCTACCCCAATGCCGTCCCCACCCTTACCCCTAACCACGACCCAACCCCACTCAATTCACCACTTGCCCCTACCTTGGCCCCACCCGATCTCAAACCCAACCCCACCTCACCCCCTTACCCTACCCTACCCCACCCCTTACCACCCCTACCAGTTGCCCCTACCTTGGCTCCACCCAGATCCTGGCCCACCCTACCGCCATCCTACCCCACGTAGGGGTGGGGTTAGAGGTGGGACCGACGTGGCAGGGGGGTTGGAGTAGGGTGGTAAGGGGGGATAAAGGGTAAGGGGTGGGGTCGGGGTGGTGTCAATGTGGTAGTGGTAGGGTGGTAAAGGGCCTAGGGTGGGGTCGGGGTAAGGTAGGGTAAGGTAGGGTAGGGTAGGATAGGGTGGGGGCGGGGGGTGGGCCCGGTAGGGTGGTAAGGGCCTGGGGTAGGGGTTAGGGTGGGGTCAGGGTTAAGGCTAATGTGGTAGGGTGGTAAGGGGGTGGGGTCGGGTAGGTAGGGTAGGTGGTTAAAGTGGGGTCATGTTAGGTAAGGTAGGGTGGTAGGGTTGGGGTAGGTGGTAAGGGCCTAGGGTTTGGAGGTAGGGTAGGGGTGGGGTGGGTAAATGGGTCGGGTAGGGGTAGGGGGTGGGGTCGTGGTAAGGTAGGGTGGGGGTAAGGGTTGGGGGTATGGGTACACTTAATACTTGTTTTCATGAATGTTTGTGTGTCTATATATCTATAAGATTATTTTGGACATTTTAATGCTAAACGATGTTTTAAACCTTTTGAAGTAAACACGATCTTACAACGTTACTTATTTTATGCGCCGCTTATCAACGCGGGTCTTAGTAAGCACCGTTCAGTAACCCGTGAAGTAAACTTGTTCTTAATCATTCACTTTTAATGATTTTTTGATCATATTCACTTTTAATGATAAAAATCACATTAGAAGAATTGGAAATATCAATTTTAAAGTTCGGGACGAAAAATGTCTCACCGACAAAAATTTGATCAATTTTTAGACCAATTTGTCTTTTTCTTTTTCAATTTGGTAAGTAACCCACTTTTTTTTCATACCAATTTTATAATTTGGATACCAATTTTATAATTTGGATACCAATTTTGTAACTCATTCTCCATAAGTGCGTCTCTTTCCGTCATGCTCTCACTCATCCCGGAGTCACGACGACGTTTAATTTGTCAATGAATCTTAGTAACGGCCATCAAAATTATAGTCAAGTCAGAGACCATGATCTTATTGCATTTCCACTTCAAATAACTTGCTTTCCAGATATTCCTATGTGTTTTCTTTCCTCCCATTTTTATCGCTCTCTGAGACTCTGACGTGCTGAATCTATTGTTTATGCAGTTAATCTGAAATGTTGAACTAGCACATTTGTCCTTCCCCTGCTTTTCTTCATTTAGGCTCCGGTTATCGATCTGTTTTTTTTTTGTTTTTTTTTCAATTAATGCTCGGAAAGAGCTGAAAACTTTCAGGAAAGGGGAGAAGAATGAAGCGAGGGAAGCTCGACTCACTCATCTCGGTGAGTCGGCTCAGATCGATTCAAGTCCTGATGTTTGTGTTGTTTCTGTACCTGGTTCTTGTGAGCTTCGAAATCCCTCTGGTTTTCAGAACAGGTTTCGAGTCGGATTCGCGGGAGCTCGAGTCTCATTCTGGAAACTCGCGTTTAATTTTGCTCGATAGCGAGAAGGAGGAGGAGCCCGCGTTTCATCCTCGAAGGGAAATTGCAATTTCTCGCTTCCCGACAAGTGCTACTCAGAGGAAAATGGGGGATCATAAGAAAGTGTCGGGCTTAGTTTTTGACGAGAATGCCTTCAATAGCATCAACAAACGCGACCTCTCCCAGATCCACACGGTCGTCAGGGATGCATTCGCGGCCGGGAAGAAATTACTCGAAGAGATAGAATCTGGGGAAATTCAAAGCGACTTGGAATACCGGACACAGAGTCTGAACGAGTCATGCCCCATCTCGGTGATTTTAACAGGGGACGAGTTTGTACAGAAGGGTAGATTGTTGGTGATTCCATGTGGACTGTCCTTGGGGTCGCATGTAACTGTGGTGGGCACACCAAGGTGGGCTCATTCCGAGAAGGATTCGAGAATTGCGGCTGGGGAGGAGACAGTGATGGTTTCACAGTTCATGATGGAGTTACAAGGGCTGAAGACCGTGGATGGGGAGGACCCACCAAGGATACTTCATCTCAATCCGCGTTTGAAAGGGGATTGGAGTGGAAGGCCAGTGATTGAGCAGAACACGTGTTACCGGATGCAATGGGGAGCTGCAATGAGGTGTGATGGATTAATGTCCAAGGCTGATGAGGAGACCGGTGAGTGTTTTTGTCTTTCTGTTTTTTGTAAGATATGGTGACTGATTTTGGTCTGAAACCTGCCTTTTCTTCTTCTTCTTTCCTTTTGTACTTAAGTTCTAATGTTTTCTTCATATATTTTCCACATTTGGTAACATTAGAAAATTGTGGTATTTTGAACATTTTTTTTTTCTGGATTTCCTTCTAAGCGTATGTGTTAATATTGGTAAGGTTTCATTTCATTCGAAATGTTTCGAATATAGAAAAAGTTAATGATTAAATTATTCTGAAGTGTTTACAGCAATTTGATGAATATAGTGATAACAGTCTTTGTAGGTGTCATACCTTGAAATATAACAATAAATATCTATCAACATCAACATGATCATTGCCTAATGAGTCTCAGTTGCAGCATCAATTGACCAGTTCACTAAATGAGTTAACTATTATAACTAATTACTTATCCTTAACAATTTAGGTAGAAATTTTTTATTTTCTTTTGAAGCAATTTAGATTAAAACACTTATGTGTGGCCTAACTATTTGAAATGTTGGTCTGCCTATGGTTGTGGATTTTACATCAAGATTTTTAGTTTTGATTTTAGGGGTTCTGAAGTATATCATCCCGCTATTGCTGTATGTGTCTTTTGTTATCACATACTGACCTATTCTGGAAGGTTCTAATGCAATTTTAAATCATAAACCAATAAATAAGCTTAATTTTAGGGAAGTTAAACGAAATCATTCTTGCCTTGCCGTGTATGTTTCTATTATTACACTAATGGTGAACTTCAATTTGCACTGACTTAAAGTTTGACAAGCACTCTATTAGAATACCAGCGAGTACCTGATTTGTATTCTGGCAAGCACATTTATAACTCAGTCCTTTTCTGCTCATTAAAAAAAACATTTGTTTATGATTTCTGGACCGTACAAAGTTGATGGGCAGGTGAAATGTGAGAAGTGGATTCGCGATGATGATAATCGCTCTGAGGAATCAAAGGCCACATGGTGGATAAATAGGCTGATGGGCAGGACAAAGAAGAAGGTTTCAATTGACTGGCCCTACCCTTTCGCAGAGAACAAACTGTTTGTACTGACTGTCAGTGCCGGGCTGGAAGGTTATCATATCCAAGTAGACGGGAGGCATGTTTCTTCATTCCCATATCGCACTGTAAGCACTCTACTAACTAATGACTCTTAAGATGACAGAGTTGAAATAAATGCTCCGTTTGGTTGGTAGCTTTATCCAACTTAGAGCCAGTAGCAATACTTGGCTTATTTTATCAAACACTTATCCTATCAGAAAATTTAGCACATTCAGCATTTCTATGAAATAATCCTCACCAAACCGGCCCTTATTATGATTATTATTCATCACAAATCTAGCCTTTGACGTGCATTTTTATGGTGAAATTGATTTTATTAAATACTTTTCCATGCAAAATTCTGCAAACTCAGCCAAACTAACTAAATAACGCTTTCCAAACTTCTTGTCACAACAAACCTTCTCAGACAAATCCAAGATAATAAATATGTGAAAAATCGTTTTTTTGTTATTTTGCAGGGGTTTACTCTTGAGGATGCAACAGGATTATCACTGAAGGGGGATGTCGATGTGCATTCCATATTTGTGGGTTCCTTACCCTCAACACATCCAAGTTTTGCTCCTCAGAGGCACTTGGAAATGTTGCCAAGATGGCGGGCCCCGCCTTTTCCTGTGGGACCCGTGGAACTCTTTATTGGAATCCTTTCTGCTGGCAATCATTTTGCTGAGCGCATGGCTGTGAGAAAATCATGGATGCAGCATGCATCAATTAGGTCTTTGCATGTCGTTGCCCGCTTTTTCGTTGCAATGGTAAGTTGCATACTTTGAGTATGCTCTATACCTGAGAAGCTAAGGTCCCGTTGAGAGTGACATGTAAAAGCCCTTTCTGTAATAAATAATTTTATATAAAGCATGATTTTTGGTACTTTTAGTTTGACAAAAGTTCTTTTAAGTTCTTTAATTCACTAATTTTTGTTTCTAATAACAGCATTGAAACATTACCTTTGAAATCTCGTGGAAGTACTGTTACTTGTTTGGAGACGCACGCCCCAAACGGGTTCTGAGTTACCGTGGCCCCGTCACCTTCATATTGTTATTTTGTTTGTTAACATTTTTTCAATGGACTTTTGCAGCACAGAAGACAAGAAATAAATATGGAACTTATGAAGGAAGCGGACTTTTTTGGAGATATTGTTATAGTGCCGTACCTGGATAATTACGACCTCGTGGTATTGAAAACCGTGGCAATCTGCGAATATGGGGTGGGTTTGACAATACATTAAGGTGTAATTAGTGAGCACCTTGTTTTATGTTTCTGTTTTCACTTTTCTAAAAACAGAAAGACTCCGTCCGCTTGAAATAATCTTCCTATTTTACATGGCATGCTTATCAAGAAGTGTAATCGAAGCGTATTGTGTAGTGAAACAATATCAACCACACATCTCTTTCCAAAAAAAAGAGAAATTGGAAGATTATTTTAGTATGGACCAACGAAGGAAACACGAAGATTATTTCAGGACAGAGGGAGTAAGAACTAAGAAAACATGTTCATAACAATCATATATTCTATTAATATATAATTCATGGCAAACATGTTCCATATTTTTGAGTGCATTTTTAGAACACTTTTTTAACAGAAAACAAAAAACCCAAAACAGGAAACTCTACCAATGAACCCTAGTTTTCATGTCATTTTTAGAATCCCCACCATCTAATGAACTTTTCTGGGGTTATGCAGGTCCGTACGGTGGCTTCAAAGTATATAATGAAGTGTGATGATGATACATTTGTAAGGATAGATGCTGTCATGAATGAAGTTAAGAAAGTTCGTCACGGTAGAAGCCTTTATGTTGGAAACATTAATTACTACCATAAGCCGCTTCGCCATGGTAAATGGGCAGTCACCTATGAGGTATGCTTTTATTTATTCCTTTCCTTTTTTTATCACCTGTACTTTTGGCCAACTGTTATATACTCCGTCTCTCAAAACTTTGCGAAGTTTGACATAGCACAGGAAATAATAAAGTTAAAACTGTGGTTGAAATTTGTGTAGAGGAGAGAGAAATAACATGAACTACAAATTCATTGATTTAAAGGGAAATTGGTTAAGTTTTTGGGACTTCCAAAAAAGGAAAGATGACAAAGTTATAAGGGACGGAGGGAGATTTAATTTCTATGATTATGATTTATAATTTAACTTAGTATTTTCATTCAAATGATTAATGAATTATGGGGCGAAACATGGATTGAACTTGAAAATCTAACCATAAGTTGAATATTTTTTGTGCTTATTGTGGTAGAGTAGACTGACCTAGCCCTATAAAAACCTCTTCTCCTAAATGAGCTGATTTTGAATTTGTTTCCTGGGAGTTGTAGGAATGGCCAGAAGAAGATTATCCACCCTATGCAAACGGGCCTGGTTATGTCATCTCGACTGACATTGCACAATCTATAGTCTCTGATTTTGAGCAACACAAGTTGAGGGTAATGCTACCTTGGCCAATCTATTTGTACTTATACATGTGTATGTGTGAGTGTGTATATATGTGTGTGTGTATGTGTGCATATGTTATGTTATATATACATTTGTGTGTGTGTCTGTGCGCACACGCGCGTGCACGTCTGTGTATGTCTGTGTGCCAGCGCGTGTATATATGTATGTGTGTGCACACATCTTTGTTCATTCCACTCAAGACTGGACGTTTTGAAGCCACAATTTATCTAATGCATCCCATAAAAAACCAAGGAACTAAGAATGTGTCTGATTTGAAAATTGAATAACTGACTGTGCTGTTTAAGGCAGCAGTTTTAAGGTGTTTGTATTTGACCCAACAAAACATTTTCTAAAAGATTTTGATGACTCTCGACTCGGAAAGGAAATGCGTGGGAAAATAAAGCATCCTTTTAAAGTCAATAAATTTGAATTTGGTCTTTGTTTTGTTGAAACTCATTTTATTTATTTATTCCTATACGAAGACCAATAAATCTAAACATATGTAAGAAATTAAAAACATTAATCATATTTCATTTTCAGAGGCAGAACTAAACACAAGAAAATGACATCCCATTACATTTTTATTTCCTTGGCATTTTCCGGGACTCGAACAAACCGTTGAACTTATATGGAGAATGACTTCCTGTTTTTTAAAAATGGAAATTTCTGTAAGAATATTATTTATTTGAAAACACTTTCACCAAAAATATTTTCTGCAACAAGTTATGTTCTGGGAAACAACGAAGCCTGACCTATTTGGTTTCAGAATCACATCAACACAGTTGCTCTCAGTTTTGTTCTCTTTTACATAGGATAGAATCAATCCTCACCCAAACTGTAGAAATATACTTTTCTTTTTTATTGTTTGTTTTGTTTTGCCAAACGGCTTCTAAAATGTTGAAGCATGCTTTTATAACACGGTTGAGATTATATGCTGGATGCAGCTGTTCAAGATGGAAGACGTGAGCATGGGAATGTGGGTAGAGAGGTTGAACAACACGAGGAAGACAGGGGTGGAGTATGTCCACAGCTTGAAGTTCTGTCAGTTTGGATGCATAGAAGATTATACCACCGCTCATTATCAATCTCCAAAGCAAATGATTTGTCTTTGGGGTAAACTACAGAGTCAAGGTAAAGCCTACTGCTGCAATGTTAGATGACAAAGAGATACACATTTTTGTAAATATAGTTTGATTAAGAAGATCGTTAGCAACTCACGTCCATTCATTCTTTGAACCTGCTATTTATTCTTTGTTTCACCTTTTTGGTTGGTCCCCAAATTCTATTGTTTGTTGCCTGTTTAGATTGGTTAAGGGTGCATGTTTATTACTACCTATGTCCCATAATTAACTTCCCAGTTAACTATTAAGGTCAAACTTTGTTAACTTTGACGCTTAATTATTAAAAACATACATTATAATATTAAATTACTTTTGCATTAGTTGTTCATATATATCATTGAACTGTTAATTTATTATAAATCTCATAAGCACATATTTTTGAATAATATTGATCAACATTAACCAAGTTTGACCTCAATAGTCAAACTTAAGTTAGTATTGGGACGAAGGAAGTACATAATTGTTGTTGTTGTGGTGGTTAATATTACTCCGTATTATATTACTATTGTTGTTGTTATTAGTTATTACTATCACTACTCCTTATATGTTGTACTATTATTGTTGTTATTTCTTTATATATTGTTGTTATTTCTTTATCATAATCATATTTTACCCTCACCGTTCTTAGATCTACAACTTTATCACTCATGTTTAATTACTTTTTAGTAAGAGTAAATGATAGTTTATGAGGTACCATGTTTTTAATTTATGAGGTAGTGTAATGTGTCTTCTTATCCTCTCCATCAAATGTCACATTCCTTGCTACCATGCGCAGTCTAGAAATTGAGTGTAGCCGTGTAGGGCGTGCTAGAAAATAAGCTGTCAATTAGCAGTATATTACTATGGATGTTATAAAAATACAAAGAAATCAGACATTACCAGACCAGTCCAGACCAGACCAACAAATTACAGTCCAAGTAAAAACATCCTATATCAAGTGTGGTGTCGTGTAATTATTTGAATGACTGCGTGAAACGACAAGGAACAAAAGATTGGGTCTAGGGGTGGACTCGGGCACGGCAACCCGGCCCGGAACCGGCCCGGCCCGGTCACTGTTTGAACCGGCCCGAACCGCCGGCCCGGCCAGGGGCCGGTCCGGGTAGGCCCGACCCGCTGGGGTTCCGGGCCGGGCTCAGGCCCCTGAAAAGGTGAACCGGCCCGGCCGGTTTGGGCCCGGTCCGGGCCAATTTTTTTTCCTTTTGAATTTTTTTTAAGTTTTTTGGTTGAGTTGGGTATTTTGGGCCATTTGGGGTGGGGGTGAGGGGGGAGGGTTGGGGGTTGATTAGGAAAAGCCAAAAAAAATTAAGTTGAACCGAGGCTCGGCCCAGCCCGAACCGGACGCGGGGGTTACCCGGGCCGGTTCCGGGCTTCCCCTTTCATGAACCGAGGCCCGGCCGGGCCCAGGCCTGAACCGGCCCGAGTCCACCCCTAATTGGGTCATTGGAGAATGAGTTTTGCTTCATGTATACGCTGGTGTGCAGACAATTACACATGGGTGTGTAAGCCGGTGCGTAACCGGGTATGTACACGAAACAAAACTCTTGGAGACTTTATTAGCATCTTTAATGAGTAGTTACTTGTCCTTGTGTTTCCCTTGTCACATCACTATTTCTATTTCAAACTACTTCACTGGTTAGCCTATAAAGCATGGAGATTATCTGGGAAAGAGTATATTTCCATTTCACAAATTCTATAAAAACGCTTTTGAAAATGCTCTAAACAGTTATTCTTGTAACAAAAGATGGCATTTCTCGTTTTTGTTTTCCTCATAATCCTTGTGTTTCTGTGCAACATAACCGTTGGCTACTTCGTCTTCCTTTTCATTTAATAACAATACTATGAAATAATTCTCTGACCTCAAAACTACTAGCTCATCTGGAGAACTGATTAACAAGTTTGATTGTAAACACTAAACAGTGTTGCTGTGTCGGTTAGCTCGGTTCAGTCGGATGTCACCAGAGTCTAATTCACCCCAAGTCCCCAACGTTACTACTTACTAGGGGTTTGGAGCTTGGCTCTAGGCTTGTCTTTCGAGCACTAGTGAATGTTTTTTATCATAAAAAAATCCGATTGTGTTATTATTTACTCTGTAAAATATATACCTATGATTTAAACACAGATTTATGTTATACTCCGTATTAAATTTTGTTTTGACTATCTATATACATCCTTAAAGTCAAGTAAAAAGAGTAGGTGAAAAACAAGAGCAGTCGTAACATTTCACAATATGGAGGTAACTTTACATTTCACCATATTTACTTTCACGTGGATTAATAAAGTAAAAATTGTATGGTTGAAATTTGTGCAGAGAAGAGAGAATTAACTTTAGCCACATATTTCTTACTTTAAATGGAAATGACAAATCTTTTTGAGACATCTAAAAAAAGAAATTTGACAAACCTTTTCGGGACGGAGGGAGTATTAAAAATAGTACTCCATAGAAACTAGAAACTAGTGGTGGACTGGGCCCGGTCCGATTCAGTAGTCTACCGGTTCTGGGCCAGGCCGGTTCCCGATTTTTTTGTGTGTTTTATTATTTATCTCAACCCCTACCCCCTCCACCCCCCCACCCCCCAAACCCCTCGGAATCACCCAGCCCACCTAAACCCAGCCCAAACAAAAAAAAAATAGGCCAGAACCGACAGTGGCGTCTCTGCTGGGAGTTGGGCTAGGCAAATGCCTTGGGCCTCACTTCCCAAGGGGGCCTCCAATTTTTTTTTTTGTAATTAGTATTAGCCTATTATACATTTATACTAGTAATTCATTAGTTAATCTGCGGACTGCGGCCTACGGGAGCAATAATACTCGACCGACTCGGCGACTCCAAGCGTGAAGCCGGTGAAGGTAAGCGAACCAAGCAATCCGAAGCATAAGCCCTTCATCAATTCTGCTGAAGAGAAGAATCTCTACGCTGATTGCCGATTCACCGGCGACTCGATTTTGCGACCAAGACCAGCGGCAGCGTCCAGTCCAGGCTTCAGCGAAGCGAAGAATCCTATGAGTTTTTGTCTTTCTCTAAAGCTCTAAATTTTCATCTCTTTTGTGATTCGGAACAGTTGTTCTATTATTCTATTCAACCTCGATTAGCAAAAGCCAAAAGTGCTGGAGTAATAATTCACCATAATGACTATCACCTCAATTTTTAATGAAGTTGAAATTTGAAATACATGTTAGCATATACATACGGTAGTACAGACTACAGAGTATGTTTTTGGAAATTGGGATAGGGCGACATTGGCACTTGGGTAATGTGTATTATTGTATTATAGAGGTATGACTGACCATATGAGATAAATAAGTTAAATTTGAAAAAACAGTTATTTTGTTTGTTTTTTTATTGTATTTGTTAGAATAGATGTTTAGGTTGTTTGTTAATTAATTGATTTGTTTGTGATTGTTACTACTTTATATTTTCTATAAATGTTGTCATTAGGGCTGCCTTTAGTATGATGAGTAAGCGGAAAATTTGACTTAGGGTGTACAAAGAGAAAAAATAAGTTGAGGAGAGATTTGATTATACAATCGTTTGCTGACTATTAAAAATATTATATCGTATACTTTGAGTATGTTTACTTTGATTTTTGCACCATATTTTTTTTCCCGTCTAGGGCCTCCCAAATGCTAAAGACGCCCCTGAGAACCGGCCGGGCCGGTTCGCTATTTTGGTGCCCCGGGACCGCCCCTGGTATGCTCTCCGGGTCGGGCCTAGGCCCGGTACCAGAACCGGTCTTCCAGGCCGAGCCGGTCGGACCGGACCGGGTCCATGACTACTAGTCTACTACAAACCAATGCGAGTGTTCCTTCAGAATTGAATAGAAATTGGAATATTGTATTTCAGTGTGTCCCTTGTGGTTTGTTTCGTAGTAAGTGAAATAGTAATTAGCCTAATTGGTGTAATGTCAAATGCTAATATGCTGTAAGCACAAGATCTAAGGAATCATTGAAATAATATTACTGGTTCAAATAGACTCTGATGATAAACTGTGATACATTATTTTATTTTAAAGGATTTTAAGCAGTACGCCCGATTTGAAACTGAGAAGCTATGCTGATATTATGGTCTCAGCCATGTTTATATACACTTCTGTACAGAGTCCTGACGCAGCACTCACTGGGTGAGTTGGTTAAGATCCTACAGACTAGGCTATACATTCTAGGTTGTTGAAATGATAATTACAATAAGCATATACTTATAAACATTAACAATATCCATTCGGATAAATACAACAAGGTATTATTTAATTAGACTTTATCAATATTATCGTTTATAAATATATAATGGGGAATTTGACTTTGCACCCCACTTTTTGGGTGATATTGGACTTTGCACCCCATTTTCAAAAAACTTTGACTTTGCACCCCAACACCTACCATTTTGTGAAGAAAAATTTCTAAATGGGGTGCAAAATCAAAGCTTTTTCAAAATGGGGTGCAAAGTTCAATATCACCCAAAAAGTGAGGTGCAGGTCAAATTCCCCCATATATAATCGGTCAATGTTAATGTCATTGACTTGAAAAATAGTGTTTGACTAAATAAAAGGGACAGAGAAAGTATTTCTTTATTAATAATAGTAAAGTGGTATGCTACTTTCCTGATTGACGAAAATCTAAAATATATGGACGTGAAATGTCTCTCCAACTTCACCAAAATGGAGCAGTCTAGCTGCCTAGCTAAGGCCGTTCGCCATCCGGGCTACATGTCGGATGCTTTGCGGGTCTAGGAAGGCATTGACAGACTAATTAATGGGAAATTTTCACAAAAAGACTCAAAATTTGAAAAAATATCACTTTTGTTACCCTTTAAAGTTTTTTTCAAAAATAGACTAAAATACGTTTTTCTTTCACAAATAGCCCATTCGTCTTCAACACAGCTACTGGACTACTGGGTATATATTTCTAAGCTACGTAAGATTCCTTTTCTACACCATATTTTATAAACTATGGAGTAATACAATCTCCAAGAATTATTCAACTATCTAATAATTTACTTATTATTTACCCAAGTATAATAAATAAAGTAATACAAGTCTAAAGTATAAAATTAAGTTAAAAAATAAATAAATCACTCAAACTAATAAAAAATATCAAAAAGCGCATAATAAAATATTCAGAAGTTCAAAATTGTAAAACATATAAACCAAATAAAAATTTTAAAGAATTAACTAAACAATGTAAGAAAAAGATATAATAACTCAAAATGTTGAAAAATGTTTAAAACAATTTAGAATGTGGGGAAATTGCAAAATAATACGACGTGTTGTCAGTTGTGCTTTATTTTTTTTTTTTGAAAGAGTTCGGTAACTCCATAATTTATATAGAAATTATGATATAGTCGAATATATAAAAATAATTTTCTTGTAAAATTTATAAAATGGAAAATACGTAGTATATACGGTGTAAATAATTTTTTAAAATCGAAAATATTAAAAAGTATTATAAAAATATAGGGAAAACTGTCAAATAGGTCCTCGAACTTTCATAAAAAAGTCAATTAAGTCCTTCTATCGGAGAATCTGTCCGGTCGTCGCGATTTGGGACGGTTCCTGGTGGA